CAATCTATTTCCTCTCTAGCGTATAGTGTGAGAGTAATTATAAAATTATATAATGTATAATTTCATAGTTGTTCACATTCATTCTTACTCCACTAGAAAGTAGATTGGCGAAAACTATAGGGTTGTGTAAAATTTTGCTTACTAAGGAACATGAATAATCATTACTACTTTTCGCATTAAACACGAACGACGTAACGTGCGACGATCGGCAAAGATAAAAAGAAGTGAATGAGCATCACGATGGCTAAGCGCGCGAAATCGAAAGTTCGCCTTGACCTCGCGCTAATCCCGCGGCGTTCTTCCATATCGCCGACGACACAAACGCCGTACGACACAAACGATCCTCGAATTGTCGGCAGGAGAACAACACGCGCGGAGACCTTTTTCTGTTGCATGGTCAAAAGTCATTACCGAGTAACGAAATTTGACATGGTTTTTACTCTTGTTGCGCGAGAGAGAGCGTGAGCGTTCGCCTATAATTATTTCCACATCTATCACTCCGGTCCGGCAATGGCCGGCGCGGCTGCGGCTCGAAGATTGAAGATCGGCTCGCTCGAAAAAAATGAGACGCGAAACCGGGGCCTCTTTCGAGCAATAGCACTGCCGGTGGGGAAAGAAGAAGAAGAAGGGACCCCTCGTCTATATATGCCCCGTCGTCGACTGAATGCCAGTCGGTTTCCTCTTGTTCGACGACGGCGACGCACGAAAGGCTTCGATGACGTATAGTTCGTAGAAAGAGAAGAAATAAAGAGGACAAGGAGGAGGGAGGGAGAGAGAGGGAGGGAGGAACGTACCTGAGATTGTCCTCGGGTTAGAAGAAAAAATGTCATTGTACCGGGAGGAACGAACAGTCATTTGGTCTGGAAACGGCTTGACGTTAGCTGGTCCTCTGTGCTCACTACCGATCCATTGATGAATGCTCGAGAGCCATTAACGATTTGGCCTCGAGCGTATCCCATGACGTTTGAGTATTTCCGCGCGAAGAAGGATACGTATTCGTTCGACAAATGACGATGCCTATATAGCTGTGCGAAATTTTGCACGTACTACATCCCATAAAAAATTTTGACAAGAGAAATCACCCACGTATTTGTTATCTCCCCTATCAAACTGGAATCATACAGTCAATGAAACAAAGGTTGCAACATTTTCGATAAACCTCAAAACGTATCCACGGTATTTTCAATAGGAAAATTTATCTTCGGAAAAATATTGAAAAATAAATTCTCCTGTTGAATATAAATGCGTTGCGAGAGTCTTTGAAAACAATAAAAGGGAAATGTTCCAACCTTCCTTCCACCGAATGCACACGAGACTGCTGCCATCTTCCAACTTCAAAGATTACTGTGACAACGAAAAAAATGCTCTCGTTTCATTAGCTCGATAAGCGACCGGTCGCGGTGTGAAGAGAAGGGGTTCGTTCGGCCACTTCGTGTTTCTACGGAATCCACATGGGTATACCTATCTATAGCCAGGCGCTCTGATGTATTTCTGAGGCTTGGCGAGCAGCCACCATTATGCACATGATAATTAGAATGCGTTGGCGCGTGTCTCTATATATCCGCGCGTGCTGTATGCGTGCTATGAGTTAGGATACCAATCCCGCTGCTTAGCGGACTGCTCTTTCACTGGACCAGTCGCGCTGCTCTTTCAACGGACTATTCGCTACACTTGCACTATTCCTGAGCACGTAGTAGCGCGGTATTTTTTCTTCGATCTATGAGTACGGCTTTTACGAATGTCGCGCACGCGTCCGAGCTTCGAATAAACGATTTGAGTCATCATAAACAAACTCATAGTCATCCAGGATCCATATGACAATGGCTCGCGCAAAGAGGAGCGCGATGAGATCCACGGTCAAAGATGCTGGTGAAGTTGGCCTGTTGTGTCTTGTACCGCATCGTAAACATTATTGTGCGCTTGCACGACATATAGAAATCACATGGTATCATAGACTCTCGCGGAGTGTCAACACGAAACGCGGTCTATCTTTAACTTCAGAGACCACAAAGCGGTTTGTGATGCACGCTATATTAAAATCTTCTTCCGACTGGAAGTGGAGTTGTCACGATCTCGCGACGTCTAGTTTCGCGAATTTCTATAATTAAAGGAACTAAACAAGAAAATCGTGTATTAATTATAGTACTAATTATAGTTATTTACTTATCTTATAATTAGTGTATTGTGACACATGAATTATTTGGACGAGATAATAGTGGAATAATTTTATTTGATCTTTATATAAATTTATGTATGTGCAGATATTTAAAATTTTCACATATAAAAATGTAACATAGTTTATAGAAATGCTCTTAATACAAACTAAACAGTTTTATGCTCGGGTACCTAAATATCTGTTTAGTACTCGATTTACGGATATTACTCGAGTACTTGGATATCGTCTAAATAACTGCATAGCCAAGTATTGAATAATAATTGAAAATTTTATCTTTTGTTTCCTCGAGTTACACTAATTGCAATATTCGACTACCTGAATCATTTTCGCAATAACCAAGTACCCAGAAAATGCCGAAAACCTTCCAGGTTTCGAGTAATATTTAGATATTTAAGTATCGAAATATCGATACCATTTTGTAGCCTTCGGCATATCAGCTATACTATAATTGTTTCTCCGTACTCTCATTATCTCTCAGTAATTATATCGATATTCATGTGTCTTTGGCCAACACCAAGATCGGCACAGGAAATCGTTGAAACTTAGCCTGGTTATTCGGGCAAACAGGCTTACGGTTCGCCGGTGCCACACGTACGTTCGAGTAAGTGCAATCCCAGGACGGGGATAATTCCCGCGCCAAGTTTTAATATCGAGTTTCCGTATCGAATGCCGCTCAGAAGTAGCCGGAGGTAAAAGAGGAGGACGATGTTCTTACCAGAGTAGGAAGACTCGGCTTCGAAGCTCGAAATCATCCGCGCAGACAACGAGCGCGGTGATATCTTGTTTCTTTAATAAACGGAAACGGAACGTAATCGTATTATTTGTTTCTACCTTTAAGAATACTACCCTCCTCCTAATACCCGGCTTGAAGTGGAGAGAAACGAAACAACTAGATGGCGAGAAGGAAAAGACCATGAGGGGAGAAAGAGGGTGAAAAGGAGGGAGATGAAGAGTGAAGGCAAAGATCTACGGGGACGAATGGAAAGGTGGGGGAGAGGAGAGAATGGAAGGAATATTTAAGAAGGTATTAAACTTCCCTGCTCTCCGCTTCCACCTCCGCCGTATGGATGAGAAAGTATTAACGTTGTACTTTATTCGCGGCTGCCCCGATGAGTTTTCAAATATGGAAAGGATCTTATCGTCCCGATTCCATTTCTGATTATCAACGATTTATCTCGGTATCGCCCGATAGCCTCGAAGCGTTTCCTCCACATTATATTCGATCCTTTTGTACGTTTTAATGATACCACTATATGTATCTCCATATGATGAATTGAATATTTCTGATGACTCTAAAATTAAAGTGAATGAGACGACATTACGCCGATCTATGTGCTAGTCAGGTCATCGGGAAGGGAATTTTCATTCAGACTTAAGCGTTATCCTGACTCAAATCCTTCGAATATACATACAGGTCAGAGAGACCCGAAGTGGAAAATTCGCACGCGTAAACGGTCATGTGAGACGTACAGTGGGCAGTAATCCCGCAATCGCTCCCGCTGTGATATTCTTATTGAGAATAGTAGCTGAAGAAGCAAAACGTCCCGAGATCGCTGAATGGGGTGCCGCGGTGCGCCAGAGTCAGGTGTCGGGCCCGTGGACCCGAAGAGAAATGCATTAACAGGTGTTGCGCTCGGGGTAATAGCCGATATATCATCGCCGGGGCCCACCTAAACGAACTCGCGTAACCTAAAAGGGAAAAAGGCATATGCCAGCGAACTATATTTTAAGAAAGCTTGAAGAGAACGACCGCGTGAGAGACGTCCGGATGCGATTGGACGCGCGACCAGCTGGCTGATAGATTTCAACTGTCCCCGCGAACGATGTAAACGCTGGGAGTTCATAACGGGTGAATTAATTGTGGTTGAGATGCATTCGTAATAATGCTTTAAGGATAAAGAAATGATTAATGCCATTGATTGTCCCCTGGATACGCGTGCGTCTTCAAAACTTCCTGAAGGGAAAAGAACGTGTGCGGTTGTGACGGGTAATAAAAGGGAACAAGACTTCGCGGTGCAGTTGCGAGGAGGAGGGAGAGGCACAGGTAGACGTGCGATTCACGAAATTGCGGACTTGTCAAGCGCGTACGTGACGCATTACTACATGTGGCAATTTCAATATGAATAAGAAACGATGCATTCGCACACCCATACGTAATCGTACTTCCCGCAGAACGCGAGCAATTAACGAATCGCTAGCACACTTTCGCCACTTTGTAACCAACAATTCGGCTCGTAGGAATTGAAATAAACCGCCGCGCGCATCATCCGTTATCCTTGATTATTGCAAGCATTACCAGGAAAGGCTCATAAAATGCGTCGCGCCGTATATAACGCCGCTATCGCAGCCGAACCGATCTGTAACACTGCGGCAAAGGGCGATGTTTCATCCGGATCATGAGCGAGTAACTTCTACATTACGTAGACGCTTACCGAGCGACCTTACCGGTCGGTGGCAGTGGCTAAAGACTCGGGGATCGGGTTCAGTTAACGATTACAAATTGGGTGCCCGATCGGTACCTATTCCCGGATTAATAGAGCGATAAATAATCGAAAGCTGATTACCAGAAGCAGCGCCGCTTTATATTCAACGTTGTCACCGTGAAACGCAAAGAGCCAACGGCTCGGGAAGCAAAGAAAAATCACGAAGCGAGAGGATTGGCGAACAGAAAAAAGACATATAGGATTACAAAGGCGGGAGAGGCAGTGAGAAGAAATCGATATTTTTTATGTTTAAAAAATATATATTTTTATACCCTTATACACATTTGTGCGAGACACAGTGGGCCAGTTTTTACACACATTGCATCATAATATAAATTCTAAAAACGCTTATTTTGCGATAAACAAATGATAGTTTTCAGTAAACTTTGATTTTCATTAATGTTTTTGATAAATGCTTGTTATTAATGTTAACTTATCGTTAAATATGCTGTGGTATCATAATTGTATCGATATTTTCTAAAGCCCCTGTGTATCTGGAGTTTCTATCTTAACTTGAACGTGAATAGCTATATTTATACTGGCCCGATTACCGAAGTCAAATAACGTTAAGTCATGATTAGTATCTGGATGGATAATCGCTCAGTCGGCGCCTGTAAAATAAAATTATATCGGTTATGATAAAAGAAGAAAATTAATGTTAAACCGGATGATTTATAATAAAGAGTACAAAAGCTCACACACGCGATTTTCTTTGGGAAGCAGTAATAAGATGGAGACAAGAAATGCTACTTCAAGTAGGCAAGAAAATAAAGGGAACGAAAAAGAAGGACCAAAAACAGGGAGTAAGGTGTGAGCATGCAAGGATCGGTGTGACGATTTCTTAACGCCCGGTGTATCCAGCACCCGCGACACACCAAAGCTGGTTTTAAGTTATACCAGGAGGAACGTAAAACCCGTAAACGTGCCCGCGGCCAACATATTACGCGCATTAATTCGCCGTGCTTGACGTGGAAGGCGATTCGTAATACGCGAGCGGGAGCGGGGACCGAGAGACACGTCAAGCGGCGGCGGCGGGGATCGAGCACAGAGAGGTGTGCAAGAGGTAGGTGGAAAGAGGTGACAGAAACGAGGAAGAAGGAGTACGATCCTAGTTTATAACGAGATCGGTAGGGCTACGTCCGATACGTATATACGCGGCGTTGGATTTCTCGGTAATTATAAACTTAGATTCCAGTAAATATTCCCGTCAACCCTGGGCGACGGCAATTTACGAGATTAACCGAGTAGCATACGAAGACGAGAGGGAGAGAGAGAAAGAGAGGGAATGCAATAGATTGAGATACGTACAAAGAAAGAAGGGAAGCAGCAGTTACCACGAAAATGTTTCAAGAAAATTTTCTAAGATCAAGGATACAGCCTCATTAGATTATGCATTGAACATAGGAAATTATGAATTAGTGATTGAAATTTGACCAGTCGGTGCGAGCCAATATTGAGATTACCTGTTTAATCAATTGCTAACTTCCACCTTGAAGTTTTTTAACGCTAAACTCCAAATATGACTAAGAAAAACTGTCAGTAGAAAAAATATTCAGTACTTTTATAAAAATAATATCAATTAAATACAAAATCTATTAGAATAATTACTAAGTTAAAGAGAAGTTAAAGGAAAATTACTCCAAGATATCTCCATTTGATTTAAAACACATCTGACTTAAGATCTTTCCCTACTTTTTTTATAAATTGTTAATTGTGCTAAAAAGAGTACATTTATTTTTCCATTATTATGTATACGCTACAAATAATATCGTTATGCTCGTTGTATTTTTTCAACCAGAATAGACAACCAGAACAAACACGGTAAACACCCTGCGACAGTCGGTCAAACCGACGTCACAGTACCGCTTCAACGGATGTTAGTGGAGTATGGACGATTGTAACGCCGTGGAATTAATCTATGCCCGCGATGGTAATATTAAGGAAATGTTTCAATCCCGATGATGTATGGTGCACCGTTGCCGGTGCGTTCACAGTAGGAAAAGGGTCTTCGTTGTTCGGCGTGGTGGTAGTTGTCGTTGAGGAACGATCAATCTCGTCAACAAGTCAAGCATTGGGATCAGAGATCTTTCTTAGATGAGACAGATCCAGCAGGGACAGCTGGTGATAATCGTTCCCCACAACGAATCGCATTCCTAACGTGAGATTAAACGCTTGGCATTTCTGTCGCGCGTCCGAGGACACTTTCGACATACCTCGGAAGCCTATGAATACATTATCGAAATAAGTGAAACTTGGTCAAGTGACTCTCAAGTTTCGGGATATGAGTCCCGACTACAAATGCGGGCTTTAGATTGCTCGCAGGTGTCTTGCTGCCAAAGATTCCGATCTCCTTGAGCGGAACGCGGTGTGTCGGATCGCAAACAAACGCGGCCACAGGACTCCGCAAACTAATCCTAATCTTGCGCTACCGACAAATCGCTTGCCATAAATCCAAGGCCAAGAAACCGAGCGCCAAGACGCTCCTCCGTAATCGAAGATAAACCGCCGCACTCCCCAACTACCATCACCCCACGAGCGAAAAGCAACTATCGTACGGTTATCAAAGTCGAAGCAGGACGTCGGAGCTGCGGGGGGTATACTGTAAACAAGGAAAGAGTACCGGCGAGGGATGATGTGTCCTGGTAACTTATCGAGATAAATCAGAAATGCCGTCGAGCGTGTTGCACGTGAGCCACGATGGACGTTTACAACGATAAAAGATTTTAGCCGGACGAACGGCGGTTAAACACTTGAATTACGAGGCCCTGCACGGCGGAAGAGCTGTGTTTTGCAGCGATGCCATTTCTGTGACTATAATGGCAGATTGAAGGCGATAGCTCGCATAATCTGCACGATACAGCAGCGCGGTCGTGATTCTACTCAAGTAAAATTAAGACCTGTTGAGATCAAAATTAAGATTTTATTTGAATACTTTCGCAACACTTTTCGCTCGTAATTGCCTTCAATTTAAATTCAAAGAAAGAAAATTCCCAATTTAATCGCCGATTATTCACGATACTACTTCTCTGTTATTATTGAAATCAATTACGAATCGATATTATATCGAGTATGCTCATATTAATCGCCTAATTGCCGGTTAATGTAAAGTACACGTATACGCACATACATACGTTTGACACATAAATACGTAGAAGAATCGGCGATGTCCGTGTATCGACCTGTGTGTGCACAAATCACCCTCTGTACAGAACTTTGGTAGTTTGCACCCTTCCACTGCGCAATATTAATATCTCTAATCATTCACCAACCCCTTCGCACCCTTATCAAGGGATGCCATAGGCGTCGCTTGATACGTGTTATTCAGATTTATCCCATTTACCTTTGGGACCATATTTATCCACAGAACAAACCAAGTACACGGCCCGATAAAGCGTTTGTTTCACGAGAAGGATTAATGCTAAGCCGCAAATGAAGGATTCGAGCATTTTATTTTTATCTTATTTTTAGTCTTTGGTGACGAAGCACAGCGTGCTGTTATAATGAACCTTCAGAATAATTGCAGACAATCTATTTTAGATGTACATACAACGAATAACTATTTTATTATCTCGGCAATTTTATTGGAATCTATCTATCTATCTATCTATCTATATCTAATAGTAATCTCCTCATAACGGCATTTTTGCCTTAAAATTTCTTTAAAGCTCGGACGAAGGAAACGCGACGATTTCGAAGAAAAAGTGTGTAACCCCTTCATTTTTCGAGACACAAGTTCGTCTCATGGCGTCCTACTTTTTTTCTCGCGGAAAAATATGGAGGGACGAAATTAATCCCAAAGTGCAGATACTGTGCATATTACAGGACGTTTCCACGCACGTATGGATCCGCACGGCTGACTAAAGGGCGTTGGTCAACATGATATCACGTTGAGCCATGAACGTGTAACGCCAACTCTTTAATTTTTAACGGACTCAGCGTTTTCTCTCCCGCTTACGTAGCTCGCGAAGGGGTGGGATCATCCCCCGTGAAGGCGCGACTGGATATCAAAGTCGCTATTTATAAAGAGCCGGCGAGCGAGCGAGCGCGCGCGCGCACACACGCGTGCACATGCTCTACACGTATCCTCGATAATACGCATTTCCATACCCACACACATACACGCACACGTACGTATACGCGGAGGAGCCGCGCGAAAGAGGACACGCGGAGGGACCGGTCGGACGTATTTGCATATAGAGAGCGTTAGCTAAGGGAAATAGAAGCCGAATACGTGACAGCCTTGCTCTGGGAGGCGATTCTTCGCCGAGAGACGGACACTTCCTATCAGCGAGTTCATTAATAACCAGGCGAAGCTGGCCAAAGGTGAGGAGGGTAGCTAAATGGCCGAACGTTTCTCCATAATCTCTCGCCTCCCTCGCCCCTCTCCCTTCCTCTTTCCCTGGTACTTCCACTATCCCCCTACGGCCCTTTTAATGTACCATAAATAATCCTTCGTCTTCAGTGCAGACCTTATCTAGTCAACACACGGGGAAAACTCGTGAGCCATTAATGCAGCGCGATAACAGCTGAAAAGAAAGCACGCTGATAAATCGCGAAGGAATACGCACACGGTTTCTGCTTGTGTCTTCTTTTTGCTCGTTGCTTATGTTGATTGTGAAAACGTAGTGTGTGTGTATTGCTTGTACAGGCAGTATTAAATTTATCTCTGAAGCGGAAATACACGCGGAAAGAATGAGAGATAATCGATATTCGTGTAGGAATAAAAAAGTGAAAAGGGACAATCGAATTGGCGGAAGTGTAGATACGTACAAATGATATTGGGGCGATGGCAGCAGCTGGATGGCGCAGGACGCACCTGTCGACCTGTGCAAACAGAAACAACAGGTAACAGATAACCGTCCTTCCTTCTTTTTTCTGCTCTCACCGACACCAATATGTTGCTTGCCACTCGATGCGTGTTAATCGTGTTTCGACGTGTTATTTGCGCATACACACCCAGTCGTGTGCGCTTTTACGATGTCAGCAGATCGACTTCATAAAAATTTGATATATTCGACATAATCATAAAAATCATTAGAATTAATAATTACTAGAAAAATCATTAGAATTAATAATTACCCAACAAGTTATATTAATCATATTAAATAATTATTATAATAAAAATTTGATATATTCCACATAATCATAAAAATCATTAGAATTAATAATTACTAGAAAAACCATTAGAATTAATAATTACTCAACAAGTTATATTAATCATTTTAAATAATTATTATAACCTAACAGAGATTTATACAATATATCGAAATACAATTAGGGCGCCTCGCGAACGGCAGTGAACTCTTTAAATATCTCTCTTAAATATCGTTAATTAAATTGCTACAACATGCAAAGTTTTGTGCAATAAAAGTAGTACACGATGAATCACGATGCGCAAAAAGGGCGTCTAGGGCCCAACAATCAGACGCGAGGCGTCATCTCGGGAGGGGGTACACCTCTTAGACGCGCGAACGGGTGGTTATGTTAGAGCCGCCATAAGTCACAATTAGGTCACGGGTGGGCAGAGGGTGCGCCGGGTCTCTTTAGACGTAGGTGTATGCGGCGGACGCCACGAAATATCAGGCACCTCGGATGAAACTGAAATGTTCGT